ATCGTGATGCCTGGGCCCCCTCCCGGCCTCGACAAAATGGAACAAAATAAGCTCCGCTTCTTTCGCAGCATGAGTATGTTCGCAGCAGCACGGTGGCCGCGCAACTTTGATGCTGTTGCTGCATGTTGTTTTGAAGCATGGTAGAGCAGGAACTCCTAGGACAGATGCAATCAGTCCGCGCATCATTCAGAGATTTGCCGCAGTTCGCGCATGTTCTAAGATCAGAGTCTTGTGCTTGTCCCGAAGCGGGCACCCTGCAGTGTTTGCTCAGAGATCAGCTTTAGAGATCTTTGCCGCCAGCCCGATCTCAAAGATGCAGCCAGAAGTGGACTCAGTGGAGACAACCTCTGACTCCATGAAGGCCAGTTGGAAGCAACCTTCATAATCTCTCGTCGGCTTTCCGAATTTCTTATGTGAGTGTGTCCGCAGGAGCCGGAGAAGGACAAGAAGTGCCATCTGAAGACTCGCCTGGGATATCAGCCGATCCACCGCGTCCTCATCGACAACTGGCAATCTGGACTGACAGTAGCTATGGTCGCTGCCTGAGAGTATCAACTCGCACTGTGCAAGGTTGCCTACATCAGATAGCCCTGTTTGGAAGACTTGCAAGAACATGATCTGACTTGTCCAAGCCTTTCGACGTTTTTGTGTGTTCACTTCTTGTTCTCGCTTGCATCGTCTACGGCTTGGCTTCCGGTCTCAACTGTCAGGCTGGTAGTACTGCATTGTTCAAGTTAGTTGCAACTTGCAGCGGTTACCAGTTGCAGTGGGCAAGGTTTTGCAAACAAAAGCTTCCGAGGTTAGCGTGCCATTGTCGATTTCCCTGGGCATCGCATCCGTGTCGGGTGGTGATCCCGCAGCACCTTTGATGGGCGTGTCAACCGCGTTTTGGGGTGGATTGTGCGCGTCATTGTTCAGCTCTAGCGACTTCAACATTATCGGGCCTGCCGGAGCTTTGAGTGGAATGCTGAGCAGTGCGACCATCAAATTTGGAGGTGCAGGTGTTTTGCCTTACTTGTCCCTCCTGTCCTCAGCCATCATTTGCTTGATCTATCTGCTGGGCTTGCAGAAGTACTTGCTCCTTATGCCCACGGCCGTCTTTGAGGGTTTTACGCTCGCAGTGGCTTTCATCATTGGCCTCGGCCAGTTGGAGATGGCTCTGGACTTGAGGCCAGATGGCCACAAATCGGAGCATTTCTACGAGAACGTCCTTCGGTCCATTCAAGCTCTGGACGGCTACAGCCTGGCTGCTCGGAGCCGATAGGGAATGTTATTGGGGCGAAGCAAGTGGCTCAAGGTTGTGTGTCTCTGCCATGTGCATGTCGTAGTGATCTTACTGTAGCATCGAGAGGGTGCCAGTTCAGACTCTGAGGCTCCGGCGATTCTGTTCTTCGTCGTCACCGCCTTGCTTCTGACCCTCGTCAAGTATGCGAGCAAAATCCGTGGCAAGTCGATTCCGTGGACTGTGCTCCTTCCGTTGCTCACCATCCTCCTAGGATACCTGTCCGACAAGGATATGCTCGGGGGCATTATTCTTCCTACATTGAAGGACAAGTACGGGACCTTGCAGGCACGGATTGTCGAGGTGCCATCCGTGCCGCTTGCAGACTTTGCAGCCGGCGATGTCTTCGGCCTGATCCGCAACGCCTTTGGCATTGCCTTCGTGGCAATCTTGGAGACTCTGATTTCTGCCAAGATTGCGGAGCAGAGGATGAACTATCCGTTCGACAGCAGCCGTGAGACGTTCGGATTGATGGTGTGCCATGCAGTGTGTGGGGTCGTCGGAGCACTGCCTCCCACGGGTGTCTTTGTACGCACATCTTTGAATGTGCAGCTAGGAGCAACCCACAGGCTATCGCAAATGATCAATGCAATTGCTGTCTTCCTGATCTTTGTGGTGGCTATGCCTGTTTTCTCATACTTGCCGCAGGCAGCCGTGGCAGCGCTCCTTGTCTTTGCCTCGATTCGCATGGCGCCGGTCCACTACATCGCGAAGCTCTGGCGCACGGACAAGAAGAGTTGCTTCCTGCTGGTTCTCACCAGCCTGATATGCATCTTTGTGGATCCAGTCTATGGCCTCATCGTGGGTATGGTTGTGGCTCTGCTGAGAAACGCTGCCGAGACCGCACGAGCAGAATCACGGGTGACCCTGGACAAGGCCGAGATGGCGGTAAGCGATACCGGAACACCCTTGAGCAGTCAACATGGGGCCCTTTCTCATTGGGCCACCTCCAGCTTCGATGATGCCGCGAACTTGGCGGTGAAACCTTCGCCGTTGACACGAATCAAGCAGTTGATTGAGAGATTTGCCTGTGGCAAACCCCCGGTGGAGCACAGCAATGCCTTGCACAGGCACAAAACGTTCCAAGGTTTCAAGACGGTTCTCTACGAGCCAATGGGGTCTGTGACTTTCCTTTGTGCAAGCAAGCACCTCTCGCGATTGCAGGCACTTCTTGACAAGAAGCCGACGAGGCTCATCATTTCCTTGGAGCATGTCACCCGCATAGACATTGATGGTTCCGACAACCTCGCCAAGGCGGTCAAGGAAATCAAAGATGCAGAGTGCGATGTCCGTTTAGTCGTGCCTGAACCTCGAGTGATGTTAATTAAGACTTTGTCTACGTGTGTCGTCAGAGGAAGCAGATGCAGTGTACGTCTTGGTAGTGCCACTTGCAGTGCGGCCAAGGAATTGCTGCTGCAAGGCGTAATCCTCCAGAAAGCGCTCTGGGTCGACCAACTTCGAACAGAGGGCCGCATCTACAACACGGTTGCGGATGCAAAGCTTGCGGGAGCAGATTGTGAAATCTGAGGCGGGAAAAACAACTGGCCTACATACGTGTTCTTCCTGCCCGTACCTAGGGACCTATTTAGTGTTTCAAACCAGCCACAAGCTCTGGGAGCCCGAATTCGGTTTTGAAGCATATAGATGCCAGGTTAGCGCACACAGCCAACCTGCCTGTAAGATGGATGGGATCACGAGAGGCTGCGTACCAGCAGAAGCGGTGCCCAGCAGTGACAACTCTTTTGAATGGCTGTGCACCTCCTTTGAATCCCTCCCATGGTTCCAAGTTCCATTGGCTTCGCAGCCCTTCACAGGCAGTCAGAGAGCCGGATGCCCTCAACTACTCTTGTAGTATTCCAAGAGTATTCCTGGGTACTAACACTCTAGTCGGGCAGCACGAACTTGAGAAATTCAGGCTCTCTCTGCCTGATCTTTATGCCATGATGCACCCCACAGCCCGCGGAATCTCAAGGCGCCGGTGCCAGTTCGTTCGGATCTGGATGTTGCCACACCTGGCGGTGGAAGAGATATGAGAAGAACGCAGATCAGGATGCCCCAATATGCAGGAGTCGTGAACGCGTTTAAACAGAGGCGTTGTCTTTTCGTGGTTCGACAGAGCTTACTTGCTGTAGCTCTTGTGTAGTTGATAACCTGTCTGCCACACACCCTGCGTGTTTTCCTGATTGGCATCCGGCTGGTTGCTTCCAACCACCAGCTGCCCTTTGACAAGTATGTGGCGTGCATAGAATTCGTGATCTGGTGGTTGTGCGAGCACCCCGGAAACATTCTGTTTCGTGCTGCACCTAGTGGACCTAGTGATGACCCAGTGGTTGTTGCTGTGACGAACACGTGGAGGCTTGCAGTATTTGGACATGATTGAACATGTTTCGGTGGCATGGCTCCGTGCACTTTTGGGCATAGCAACTTCCGCTCTTGCAAAGGATTGCCAAGGTGAGGTATGAGTATGTATGAGTGAATACTTTAGTAATGTATGCAGCAATGGTTCAAAAGGACAGCAAGCTGGCAGTGTCCTGAGACAAATCACTGCAACGCCCGTTTCCTGCATTGCTGTCGTGCCATGGAGCCGCCTCTGAAACGCAGCAAAAGCGGGAACTCGTGTCACTCGACGCAGGCACCTTGCCTTGGGTTTTGTTGCCGTGTACTTTTGTTACTTTTTGGGACTTCGATTTTGGAACTGCTCTCGGCCTTCCCAACCTTGGAATTGCAGCCTTGGTAAGAGAAGCCATGGAAGGTGCCAAAACTGGGCTCGCTGGATCCCGCCTTGGGCGGCAAATTGGCAGAAGCTCGGCGCATTGCGAAGGAAGGCCGAAATCCCCGAAGCCACTGCATTGCCCTACGCCCCAAGGACTTCCGGCGCTCTTGCAAAGATGGTGGCCTGGACTGCGACACGATCCATTACTCCGTGCCCACACCTGCAGGCGCCGGCCCGGCGGGCCCCACCCCACCGCCTCTGCCAGAAGAGAGTGTAGTTAGTCGTCTTAGTCTTAGCTGATCTGCCGTTGCAGTGAGGGCAGCGTCACTGGCACAGTATATCTACAGCGGGGCAGTGTGACGTGTATCTTGACCCACTGGATCCAAAGGCGCGGGAGCTGTGTAGAGCGCATTTATCACTTGACGGATGTGAGCTGCAGGGGACGGCGAAGTCGCAGGCAAAGTGACATGGTTTGGCGCCCTGGCTGCTCCTTCAACTCTGAAGCATGTTTGCCGTGTTGTGTTGCCTTGATGAAGAGAGATTGCCCGGGTATCACTTCCTGGAGAGGTGACGTGCAATGGGTCATTGATGGGACTCCTGATCCTGAGAAGGTGCCGGACTTGTGGATTGCAGTTTGGGACGGGTTGTGTGACTTTCCGGCCGACTTCCCAAGCCCGCCCAAGCAAAGGACCGGAGCCGCTATGTGCTTTGCATGTTTTGATGAGCAAGCTGAGCCGTCCCTGTTACACTGTTTGGAGACTGATTGGCTCATTCGAAACTGGCGCGAGGTGCAGCAGACAATCGACGTCTCCAAAATTCGATATGCTTTTGAAGCTGGCGGGGTCTGGCTAGCGCTGCTACAGCGATTGTGAAATACTGTCCCAGATTCGAGAGCGCTTGCTTGGTCCGGGGGTCCGGCTGGGCTGATGTTGCGCTCCGTTCAATGTGGCTACATCTCGGGGAGGCACGACGGCACCACCAGGAGATGAGGCTGGCCATGGTGAAATGGTTGTGTCTCGACTCGCATTTCTTGCTTATCACTCTACCAGTTCATCTCCCATCGAGAATGAACTTGTGGCCCCTATAATATGAAGAAATGGAAATTAAGCCGACGACTTCTACTGCTGGACTACTAAACTCGGCTGCTGCCACCGGGCTACCGCCTCTGACGCTACTGCTGCCCCTACTGCCAGGGCTACTACTGCCGATGCTACTGCTAGTCCAGCTTCCATAGATAGCCACCGTGCTCCAAACGGCATTCCGCTGCTGCTCACTGTTGTTCTGCTGCTTTTGTCGCCTCTGTTGTTGGGCTTGCGGCCTCCGAGGCCTTCAATGGCAATGCCTACATTCGATCCACTCGCACTGGAAGCGCCTCGTTGAGACATGGACCAGAAAGCTTTGGGTCTCGGGATCGGTCTCCGCTCTTCGAGTTCTTCTGCTAGTAGTGCCCAGGTTCCGAATTTTACAAGACCGTCTATGGCCCCTACATGCGCTGTGAAGCAGCCGGGCTTGTGGGCTTCACGGCCGAAAATGCAGTTGCTTCTTTCTAGCGTCCCGACGTCCCCTCATGTCCGGCCCCTCCCCCCCCATGGCCGAAGTTGAGGACCTCCGAATGCCACTCCAGATCTGGTTGCCACCACATTACTCGGAGGCATGATGCTGAGCGAGACGGGACACGATGTTTGAAGGGTTTCATGCCTTGGACTTCTGTCCCACTCTGATGTCGTGGAGGTATGACCTGGACTTCTGCCATCAATGACATGTTCTCAACTGTGGTCGGCTGAGAAAAGCCGTTTTCAACTTCTGCTTGGGGACATGGGGGTCGACGGAGTAAGTCGGAACCGCCAATGCTGCACCATCAGATCGAAAAACGCAGCGGAGCACCGGCGGCCGCGTTTGGCGGCATGGTCACCTTCGAAAAGTTAATAGGCAGGCAACCCATGCCAGACAGATAGTCCTCCGACTAAGGCACTTGTGCTTTTATGTAGGTAGATGGTGTCGACTTGTAGACTTGTGAGGCCGACTGTTCTGAAGCCGTCTGATCTGCCAAGGTTTAAATTTAGGAATGTGAAACGTAACAAGCCGTGGGCTGCGCAGGAACAGCAATCGCTCTGCCGTCCACAGAGAAAGAGAACATCTTCGAGGCTAAGGACAAGTACTACCCGTTCGCTCCCCATGTGCCTTGGGCTCGCAAGCCTTTTTTGGCTTCTGCTTGATTTGTTGCACTGCTTCTCTTTGCTGGCTTGGGTGCATTGTGCTTCCTGGGGTCGTCCTTGTTGTCACCGTTGGCACTGCTGCCATGCTGTGCTGTTTTTGGTCGCCGGCTTTGCCGAATGCTGTCCAGGGTTGACATCCTGCAAGCTACTTGGGAGGCTTTTACTTGTTCAGACAAGCTGACAAGCCTACCACTGCAAGAGCGGGGACCCGCTGTAATGTCCAGGTGGAGCACAATGTCAATTGCGTAGTTGTCGGCTTCGTTGCCGACATGCCTGCCGTCGAGAAGCAGGGCATCACAGGACTCGAGAAGGCCCAAGAAGAGTTTCAATTATATTATATTATACTATGTTATCTTCTATTATATTATATTTCCTTATATTATATATTATATATTATATATATTATATATATTATATATATTATATAATATATATATATTATATATATATATTATATATTATATATATTATATATATATTATATATTATATATTATATATATTATATATATTATATATATTATATATATTATACATATATAATATATAA